CGGTTGGCTATAAGTTTAGCACTAATGAATGAACAGTGTATAGTGTGTCTTTAAACAGAAACACATAACAAAATTGCGTATGTACTGACTATTGGCAAAATATTGTGGCCAGAGGTTTGTAGGAACCTAACCCTGTATTTTCTCTAGGAGCAATTGTTCAGTATTTGCTAATTCAGTGTTCGTAGCAATTATATAGAACATAAGTACTACAAAAAATGAGAATTTACTGACCTTAGATAGCAATGTTTTTAGTTAAAACTTTGCTTAGAATTGTACAATCTGAAATAGTAGGAGTTAATTTGTTCATGAGTACTCCATACCATTCTGACTCAAATTTAATAATTTATGTCATAATCATCAAACTCATTCTGCCTATTTACATTTTTACTCTAGAATGATCAAGTCTATTCTTTTTTTTTCTTTTATTATTCATATGTGCATACAAGGCTTGGGTCATTTCTCCCTCCTGCCCTCACCTTACCACCCACTCCGCCTCCGATCAAGTCTATTGTGTAAGTGATGAAGTACAGTGTAGTTTGATGTGACTCATACATACAAAGGCATTACTGCCTAAGCTATTGTAGCTATCTTGGAAGCAATTCAAAGAAACTATTTTTGTCAGTTATTTCTTATGACAAAAAAATGTGTTCAAAACCACTCCATGCTAGGTGTGGTTACGCCATTATCCCAGCACTCAGGAGGCTGAGGCAGGAGGACCATGAGTTTGAGGCCAGCATGAGCTATATAGCAAGACCCTGTCTCAGAAAACTAAAACCAAACAAACACACAAACAACACCCCCCAAAGAATGTGACAGAAATGGAGTCTTGAATGTCATATGTGGCATACATTAGCTGTACGCTAGGAAGTACTCTCAGGCTTAAGAAACATCTGAAAAAAATTAGTAACTAATTTCATCTTTTTTGAGGAAAAAAGATACTTACTATTGAATTGCCTGTGTTTTGAATTTATTTATATAGCGTTATTAAACCTCCCAAAGAGCTTGTTGAATTGCTTGAAAATAAATTCCTGTGCAACGTAACGTATTAATTCTCCCAAACAATAAGCCGAGCTGTACGTTTTCTGTGGGGAGCCATAGAAAGAAAACTGGGCTAAAAGTCAGGAGCCCAGTGCTCTGTTCTTGAACGTCACATTTAGGCTTCTTTAGAAGAAGCAGTTGGTCAGCTTCAGTGTTGGTTGGTGCACGAGTGGAATAATGAAGTCCCTGAACCTTGCTACAAACGTGCTACCGTTTCTAAGGTGGCCACAGAACAAGTGAGAATTTGCTCTTCCTCCATTTCGCCCTCCGCTAAGTGTATGTGGCAACTGAATTAATCCTCCCAACAGACACGGGAATTATTCTCGTGTTCCAGGAGACAACTGAAGATAGAAAGGTTCATTGCTTGCCCATAATCGTTCTGCTAAGGGCTTGAGGGTGCCAAAATTTAAACAGTACACTAACTTCATTAACTCAATTGCATGAACTCATAAGTACACTTTGTTCATGTGTGATTTCAGGCATGACTTGAACTTCTCACAGGTTTGAAATTAAATACCCAGCACAACACAGGGATGGAGGAGTGGTAGAGTGCCTGCCTAGAAAGTGTGAGACCCTGAGTTCAAACCCAGTAATGGCCAAAAAAAAAAAAGAAAGATGGAGGGGATCAATTCAACTATGATATACTGTGAGAACTTGTGTAAATGTCACAATGTACTCCCAGTGCAACAATAAAAATGATACAATAAAAAAATGAAGAATCATTAGATAAACAGAACAAAGCATCAGTAAAAACAATGTAAAGTAGACCTAGAAATCCAGGGGAAGCTTTTTTTGAGTTGTAGAAAATAAATATGAGGTATCAGATGTGGAGGCCTGAGAGTCTCATGATTCTTGACTCGCATCCTAGATGCAATCAGCTCGTGTTAATCAAATGTCACATGCCCAGATGACTGGGGTGGTGATGGGGGAATGTACCCGCCTGTTGCCTCAGTAATAGGCACCGTCCTCCTTCTTCCGGGAAACTGAAGGGGTGGCTGAGTATTGGAGGCCTGGCAGACTCACTGCTTCCAAGAGAAGCGTTCCCAAACGCACAGCCTGGCGACCCAGGGCCTTGTGCAGGCCTTGCAAATGCTCTACTGCTGAGCTATGTATGTCCCCGTGCAAGAATGGATTTTTAAGTAGTTCCAGCTTGGATTTTGGTTTTAGGTAAATTGATCACATTCATCAAGGGTACAAGTTACTGTGGGAAACTTTTGTTTTAAATGCAGAAGAAATTCCATCAGATTGTTATAGAAACTGACAGTTTTCAAGCCCTCATTGAAGACAATTGGCAAGTGTGAAGAATTCCCACTTGCAGCCTTCTGTCAACTATGCCCACATTATTGCTGGGACTAGATGACCTGCCCAATTAGTCTGTTTCTTAATATGAGTAAGCCCTCCATACTCAGTAAGCTACCCCTGTGCCTTATTTCATGTGAAGGGCTCTTTGGTTCCTGAGTTTGAGCCTTTTCCTCCTCAGGCTGGAAAAAGAAACAAAAGAGTCTCTCAGGATCTTGGCCCCAAGTACCATGGTAATCCCATGAGAGCCAAGAGTCTTCTTCCATCCTTCTGGAGCTGCCCCACACCAAGTATATGGGCCTGTGTTTAGAGAGACACGTGCAATAACCACTGGCTCACTAACTGACTTGTACATCAGGGACTTACACCCTCCAGTGCACAGGAATGCCTGGAAACGCTAAGCCTAGGCAAGTCAGTTGGGGCTCACTCATGGAAACCCAGTATTTTTGCAAAGCCTAGCATGTAACAGATGCTCAGAATAGCCAAGTGTGATATCTTACACCTGCAGTCCCAGCACTCAAGAGGCTAACACAGGAGGACTGCAGGTTTGAGGCCAGTCTGAGCTATATAGTGAGACCCTGTCTCAAAAGAAACAAATAAAACATACTCAGAATAATATTTACTTACTGATAAATGCCATTTGTATCAGATTAAATATAATTGTCTCCTGGTATCTGTAGGTCATTGTTTCCAGGACCCCCATGGGTACTAAAATTGGCAAGTGCTGAAGTCCGTTATATAAAATGGCACAGCATTTGCTTATAACCTACACATCTTCTCCCATATATTTCAAGCCATCTCTAGATAACATAAAATAGCTAATGCAACGTGAATGCTATATAAATATGGCATCGTTCAGGGAATAACGACAAGAAAAAAGTCTTTATGTTTAATATAGACCCAATTTTGTTTTTGCAAGTATTTTTGACATGTGGTTGGTTGAACCCATGGACGTGGAGCCCATGGAGGCTGACTGAGCAGCACATCATCTCAATGCACAGTTGGTGCTCAAACTCTTGGATATGTTCCTGGAATAACTTTGGTTCAATTGAAAAAACAGATTTGACTTGCTCATTTCAACTCTCTTTAAAGTTTGAGGATTACCTGGATGAAGGAGTTGTTGTTAGCTGCTAGTTGAAGACAAATATAACATGCATGTTTCCTACCATTTTTCCTTTACTCATTCTCTGTGTCTAAGACAATTCATGGAGAAAACAAGATTACAACAGGCAGGACAGGGAAGTCATACAGATACAGATTGGGTTACACAGACAGCTTTTTATCTCTCTGTGTTCTTTGCCCCCTACGGTGGCTCTTTTGAAGGCTGGGATGACTTCAGTCCATTATTTGCATGATCTTTCATTTAGATAGTTCACAAACAGATTATGTCCTTACATGGTATAATTTTCTGCTTGGCTCTGATGAAACTTCTACTTAGGGAATTTTCTTCCTTCCATTTGCAAACCAAAAGGCCACATAACACCATCAAAGCCTATGAGAAATAAAACGGACCAACATTTCGTAGAGCAGGAACACTGCAAAACTTCCACGAAACAATTCACAGCCAACAGCATCCTGTTAGCTCTGAGGTGTTGGAGTGAGTCTGTGCAATATGGAAATACCATCAGCACAGCGTTCATTAGGTGCAATCCCAACACCCCTGAGAATATACCACTTTGCTCTGGGTTTTGTTTCATCTTGAGTCAGGAACACTGTATGCAACCCGGGCTGACCTCCAATTTGCGATCCTCCTGCCTCAGCCGCCTGAGCACTGGGATTACAAGTGTGCACCTCTTTCCCCAGCTGGTGCTAACTTTAACATTCTTCTGTGGAGTTTCTTCATTCCAAAAAGAAAGGAGTAACTGATTTGCGCAATTCAAAAATAGACAGAAAACATGCAAAAAAGAGAAAGGACAAATGTCTAGCGTTGTCTGAACTGTTTAGAAGGAAAGGCAAGATTCTAGTGGAGAAAATGTCTTTAATATTGACTTTTAATAAAGAAAGTAAAGATCCGAGTAGGACATAAGAGCTTGCCTTCCAAACATTAGTGTAGTGTAAATCGGAGTTTGACGCTGCCTTTGAAAAGCTGTTGGAGGGGAAGGGTGGTTAGTAGCTTCTACTGTCCTGCTGCTGCCTCCATCCATGGTCTTGGAAATTTACAAGGACGCATAAGGCAGTATCGGGTGGAGAGCTCATTTCCCTCTCAACTCTCCTAAGTCCATAATGGGGGAATGGCCAGATCTTGCCAGCGCAGGAAATCCGAGTGGAGCCCCAACGCCCCATCCCCGGAGGCCGATAGAGATGTCCCTCGTCCATCCCGGGAGGCCGGCACCAGGACTCGACCGAGGGTCGCCAGACGCGCCGACTTCGGCGGTTTCCGGAGGGGCCAGGGGCGCGCCTGGTGGAAGGTGAGAGGCGGAGTTGCTCGGTTCTGGGCAGAGACCAAAGGAATGAGTAATTGGAAATTCGGGAACGTAGCCCCTTACCCCGAGCCCTTTAGCTCTTTCACCCCAAACCCCCTGCGGAGAGGCGAAGGGACTGGAGACAGGGAGACGTGGTGGAGGGAAGAGTCACGTTTCGGAGAGGGAAGTGAAATAGAGAGGGCGGCACCCGGGGGGGACCTGTGCGTCATTGAGGGACCGTGGAGAAGCCAGTGCAAAAGGAGAAGAGGGAGCGAGGAGCGGCTGGGGCGCGAGCTCCTGCCTTCCCCCGCGGCGCCCGGCCGCTGGCAGCCTCGTGCGCTCGCCGGGGTCGCCGCTCTCCGGTCCCGCGCGCACCATGTGGCAGGCGACCCGGCCCTTACCCCGCGCGCCCTGGCGTTGGGCGCTGGCGCTGCTGGCCCTTGGCGGCGTGGAGCTGTGCCACGCCGGCCCGCAGCCCGCGTACCCCGCGCGGCCCAGCGCCAGGAACAAGTAAGTGCACGTCCCCTCCGCTCGCCCCCAACCCAAGCGCCCCGGACCCCCCGCCTGTCCTCCCCTATCGGCCGCTGGGTCATGGGTTCCCCGGGGCGGCGACTCCTGCGGGTGGCAGTGCGCCCCACCGAGGGCGCCTGGCGGAGACAGTGACCCCGCGCTCAGGGCAGAGTGATCTGGAAGACTCCCGGGAATTGCAGGAGCCCCTGGGGCCATGCTGCGCCTCATTGCAGCCTCTGATCCGGTGACGGCGCACGCTCTCCAAAGGCGCACCTCGCACCCTAGCGTGGCTACTTGTCAAGCTCCAGCCCCCAAAGTTGGTCCGCTGCTGCCTCAGCGGCCTCTTCCCCGGCCTCATTGTTCTTCGAGTTTACTCCCTGCCCTTCTCCCTCTCTCTCCACCCCAGGAACTGGTGCGCCTACATCGTGAACAAGAACGTGAGCTGCTCGGTGCTGGAGGGAAGCGAGAGTTTTATCCAGGCTCAGTACAACTGTGCCTGGAACCAGATGCCCTGTCCGTCGGCGCTGGTGTAAGTTCTGGAGCAGAGCAGCGGGCGGGGCTCCGGGCCCGGCCTGGGCCGTGGGGGTGGGGTGGGGCTGGAGCATCTGGCGAACACCCAGCAGCAGAAAAGTTTGAGCGCTGAGTGGGACACCAACCACGCTGGGCTATTTAAGAACGTGTGCTGAACTAAGTACTGAGGATGCGCAGGATTTGGGAGTTTGTGATTGCCTAGGCAAGGAAAGGACATACAAAGCCCTCACCCACACACACATTCTCTCTCTCTCTCTCTCTTCCTCCTCTCTCTCCTCTCTCTCTCCCTCCTCAATCTCTATTTTATTACTAACATAAGGCAGCTGGATCTAATTAGATCCATATTGTCTGTTCTGGGGCACACAGAAGATTCTAAAATGTATACAGCTATAAAAACTTTTAAATGTAGGATCAGTTGAGAGATTTGGTTGACTGGTGTTCTGAGACAGTTTTGTCCCAACTGTCCCCATAAAACAGACCTCTTCAGTGTGGTAGTTTTCTAAACAGAAGCCCTCAAGGAATAATTTGCTTTAAAGTGTGCTTTTTCATTTCAAGTTAGATTTGGGGATTTGCTAAGCAGTTGTCTCTTGCTTAGAGAAAAGGGGAAGAATTAATCATCTTTTTACTTATAAAGATTTCACCATCTTAAAAAAACAAGGAGGAAGCAGTGCATGAGTGTACGAATTTGGTGAAGCACATCACACATTCACTTGTCATCAGAAACTTCTGAGTTTTTGTGTAAGTCAAATATCAGATGATGGACCGATGTGAATAAATGGCTGAAATTGTTTTCCACTAAGAATAAGTTGTTTGTCTTAGAGCACAGTTGTCATCACAGCAAAGAATAGTCAGTAGGCAGATCTGTCTTTGGCAAGTTCAAGGGACAGACCGAACTTGTCCTCCAGGGAGCCTTGTTCCAGAGGGCAGTAGATGGATGAGCCTCCAGACATGGGGTGTAGGTGGTCACCACAGCCCACACAGGTTGCCCTGGAGCTGCAAGCAGGGATGGGATAGTTCCCACTAGGCAAAAACAAAGCCAAACAAACTCACAAAAACTTAGAAGAAGAGGTCTCCACTTTCTTGTTTGTTTTGTTGTGTTTTTTGATGGCACTGGGGTTTGAACTCAGGGCCTCACCCTTGCTAGGCAGGAACTCTTACCTCTTGAGCCATTCTGCCAGCTGCAAGGTCTCTACTTTCTAATGCACGGAGGAAAGGCTGAAATTGAGTCCCTGGTTGTCACATAGAGTTGGGTAAGTTGTCATTCTACCTCCATCTAGTCAGTACAGTTTGGGCCTCACAGTCCACAGCTAGCAGCCATGGTGAGAGGCAAGTAAGATTTATACATGGTTGGTAGAGTTTTCAACACAGTTTAAATGGATTTGATTGAAATTAGAATGAAATAGGCAGGAAAATTTCAATTCATTCTATACAAGAACTATGTATTTTCATTTTAATTCATTTTATACAAGAACTATATATATACCTATTTAAATAAATAAATAGATATATATATATGACGGCACTGGGGTTTGAACTCAGTGCCTCACACCTGCAGGCATTCTTACATCTTGAGCCACTCCACCAGCCCTATATTTTCTGATTTGTTATAATCTTAATCTTTACTTTGACAACTCAGAGTTCAATACATTTTCATTTTGGGAAGTGATGCTTTTTACTTAGAAGATGATTTGTTTTTATTTTCTCAAATTATTTTAGCTGCTCATAAAACCAAATGATTTCATTGTATTCTATCAAGACTCAGTGATACGTGGTCATCAGTGGGGAGTGGGTAACCTGCAAATCAGCAGGTTAATGACAGACAGTTGGCGTGTGTTTTTGCCACCCAGTGAGAAGAACAACAGAAAAGCTATTAAAAAAAAAAAGGCAGATGTTTCTGTTGTTTTATTAAACAAAGCCAAAATTAAAATTAAGTGACCTAGTTATTTTTCATCAATAAAAATCATGTAAACAGCTCAAGTACATTTTTACATTTTTAAGTACTGCATTGTAAGTATGAAACTAAAAAAAATACAGAATGTTTTAGTGATAAACTTGAAAATCTTGAAATTAGCTTCAACAGTTAATTTAGTCTTGGCCTTTTCTTTAGGAATAGGAACGGAATGGTTTGCCTTATTTTTCAAAGATTGAATGTTTCCTAAATTTTGAGGGCTAGGAGATTTGAAGACAAAGGATAACATCCTTTCTACAATTAGAAGAGAAATGGCCATTTCGCCCAGAATTCCTCGACTGTTTTTGATGAGTTTGCCCTAACCTCTCATCACTGGTTTTGTCAGGTCATGACTTATTTCTTAGAACCAGAGACCTGTGGAAGCAAGGGGATTTTGGAAACCCACCATGGGGTTGGGGTAACTGAGGGGTCATTTCTGCCAGTGTTAGAGGTGTGGGGCTGGAGGCTACTTGAGATGGCTAGGATGGCAGGTCTGAGCCATCAGAGCACTGCTGAAATCTTAGGGGCAGTGGAAGGAAAGTGGGGAAGAGAAGCCAGACAAGGGGAAAGAGAGAGGGAGAGGGAAAGAGGAGAAGTGAGAAGGGGAAAGGGAGATGCAGAGGGAGAGGGAGAGGGAGAGGAGCAAAGACATTACAGAGACCCAGGGAAAGTCCCAGAGACTAAGGTTTCCAGAAATAGAGTGGATGAGATGTCCATAACAGTAGGATGCCGACATTGTCATTTGTGAGATTAGGGGAGTGGGTGATGAGGAAATCCACTTACACAGAAATGAACATGGTGTTTCAAACACTTGGTAGAAAAAGGGAGTTAGTAACCTTAAAGCAAAGCCAGGCATGTAATCCCAGCTCTGAGAAACTGAGGCAGGAGGATTGCGAATTTAAGACCAGCCTGGGCTACAGAGCAAGACCCTGTCTAAAACAAAAAAATTACTCAACGTCTGAGAAAATTCTGCCAATGTGGGGACAGAAGTAAATGCATGGGGAAGAAGGGGTTTGATGCAGGAAGTCATACTGACGAAAGGAGAACTGTGCCCAGCCTCAGCTTTGGGCATGCACAATCTCCTTGGGCTGTGGGGACTTTTGCATGATTTTCTGAAGGACTCAGGCAATGCCCTGTTTGCGTATATGAAGAGCCTTAGATTCCAGATTGAGAATTTTGATATCATCATGTAAGCAGGAGGTTTCCATATGCTATGTGGGCATATAAGTAATCATTTTTCTGACACTGAAAAGTGACTTCTTTGTGCCAGGCACTCTCAGGACATTTCATCCCATATATTAGTTTCTTCAGTTATTGCAGCAGTCCTGTAAGTTGGATATCAACTGAGATGAGCCATTCTGTAATTAATGACAGTGACTGAGTTGCCTTCAAATCCAAGGTTGCCAGCCCTTATGGGCTGCCCTCTGTCCCCATAGCAGTGGAGCATTTGCTTGTCCTAGTGCATGCTCTCAGGAGACAGCACAGAGCTCGACCATGGAGAACATTTCACAGCATCTTTCGTGGAAGGCGAGTCTCACAGGTGCCCAGAATGGTTTGCGTGCAGTTGTTTGTGCATGTACATGTGTGGGCGTGCGTGCATGTGCCCCAAACCTCACTGTACTATGGGTCATTTTGCTACAATGCAATGGACTATATCATTTGTCACACTGGCCAAGCTGCTATACAGTTTGTTTGCTTTTTAATAAAACACTGACTCATTTGATTGTTTAGGCTGCTAAGTCAGTTGTTGAAAGGGTAAAATAAATGAGGCCAGAGCTGATGAATAAAGCTGGAGGGGCACTGAACTTGACACTCAGGATTGCACATCCTCCCCTGAGCTCAGCCACCACTGTGAAACTTGTCCCAAGGTGGTGGTGTTAAAAGCATATTCCAGAAAAGCAATTTAAAACTCATGCCCTAATTACTGTGAGTGATACCATTCTTCTGTGTAAATAATTGTACATTAATAATTCTTAACTATTATGAAGATTTAGCGTCACTTAGGAATTTAAAATTAGGGATCTCTCTCTCTCTCTCTCTCCCTCCCTCCCCTCCTTTCTCTCACTACATGTGAGGAGGGTTGCTTCAATAGAAAGTAGTTTGTGTTCTCTTAACTAGTTCCTAAGTTGACTAGTTAAGTTGGTGAATATTTAACATTTAGTATTGTCTCAAGGGAGGTCTCAGAATTTTTTTTTTCCTTTTTGAGATAATTGGTTTACTTTGTTTCTTAATAGAAAACCAGATCGCTTTGAAAATTTCATCGCATTAAGGAATTTTTCTGATTGCTTGTAAAAACCTCTGGCAGTTTGGCCAGTTTGGTAGGCTTGTGGCTACTGGCTCCTGGGATAGTCCAAGCAAACAGTCTGTCAATGTGGTGACCAAACCTTACTTCTGCATCTGAAGTCTTTGCAGGAAATGTGGAGAGATTCTGTCTTGATTCTGGGCCAGCTTTGGGGACAAATTGTGGGGGACATGGGAATCTGAGTGACTTGGAATTCTTCCTGTGGATACAGATTGAAATCATTAGAGAGGCTGCCTTGGGTGGGAATATTTCCCCTAGTGTATCACTTTCCAGGGATGAGCCCTCAGGTTTCTTACCTTCCATCGTTGAGCAACCTCCTGGGCTTAGGCCCCTTTGACAGGAGGGTAAGTTGTTAGGAAGGAGCAGAACCAAATCCAGGTGTGGTATATCCAAGCCTTAGGCTCCTCTCATACCACGTGCCACAGCCCCTGCTGTCTAAACCCTCTGCCTGGGACAAGCCCCAGTTTGTGCACACGGTGCGAGCGCACGTGTGTGTGTGTGTGTGTGTGTGTGTGCGCGCGCTTTGCCTACCAGCCTGTGCAGTGTTGCTGCCCCTCTGGTGGGGAAGAAAGGGATGAGGGAAAGGTCTGCCATTTCCTACAGCCTCCTCTACCCCAGTGCTTGTGTTTGGGTGGACTGCAGTAGAAAATGACTCTTTCTTCTCTGTATTGGACTAGGTATTGTTTCTTTCATGCATTGTTCATGCTTTGTGACATTAATTCACATAGTCCCAGCACTTCCTGCCCGG